CCTCGTCAAGCTCCTGTCTACATCCTTCCCCACATTTGTTCTGCGACCCTTCTCTGCCACTGCTCAGAACCTGTTGCAGTGCTTTGCATGGCCTGTCAGCAAGGACGTCAACAACGCCAAGCGAGTCCTGCTTCAAAATGATCTGCTGGTTCTGCTCCGAGTTCTTTGCAGCCGACATGGCAACGCCATGGGGATGTCAGGCCCCTTCAAGGGTTGCGGCTCAGCCACATTTTCCGCAAAGACGTGATTTTATGAAGAGTAATGAAGATTGGAGATCAATTTTTTGGCACCCACATGGCAACGTTTGAAGATCAATTGCGTTCATATTTTGCGATTGAAAGAAGCATCGGCTTCGTCCTAGCAGATCATGAAGAACTACCACCATGCAGAATCATGCGCGGGACGACTTCATCTGGGCCTCACCTTTCCCGGAACACGAATGAAAAAGTGATGAAACATGATGAAACCTACGACATGTGGAGGGAACTCGCGACCAACTAGCAACCAGTGAGTGTTCAAGTAGGCGGCATGCACATGTACGAGCAGCGTCGAGGTTTGTTGCGCTTGGCTGCTTCCGCCCTCAATAGCTCCGCGCAGCACTGGGCAAGAGCATTCCACCTGAGAACTAACCCTTGGAACATAGACGTGTGTGAAATGTAGACCACTCACTGACTCCGGAAATGCGGAGTCTTCCAGCAACTTCTCCTGGAAGCCTCCACGAGCGCTACGTAGCCTCAAAAAGGCCGTAATTGACCCAGCCACAATGCGGCGTAGGGCAAGAAATCATTCAGGCTTTTTGTCGAATGCTAATTATGCTCTATGCCAGCCTGCTTGTTCACTACATCACGGCAGGTCCGATTTGTGCCATGCACAGTTCACGAGCTTTCAGGCTCTGAATTCGGGTCGGTGCAGCGTCTTCTCTTTGTATCTTGGCGTGTAACTCCATCCAGACTTCTCTCCACACTAACTCCGTGTGCAATCGACTCTGATGAGACCACGCGCTGCGATAGAGAAGGCCGCCTGCCTGGGAATTAACCAACAACTCTTTGTGAAACAAACAGCGGCCCTGCCCAGGAGCTCAGATGCTCAAGCACCTTGGAAAGGCACATCCAGCATGGAAGCTGAAACCACCCTCCGTGGCAAGTACAGCTTGGCGAGATAACCCAGCTGTCGAACAGCTTGCTGGTGTCCGTAGCTCGAGCTTGTAGAAGAGTGCTGCTTTCGGACGAGCTGAGTGCTGGACTTGGGTAGGCCCTCCACGATTCCTGGGGCCCGCTGTTGCCGTGCGATTGCCTTCATCGCAGGATGGGCCTCTTCCTCATCCTCCTGAGGATCTCGTGGTGGCGCTCAGGCCAAATGGACTACTGGGAGCAACTTTGCCAAGCAATGACAGCCGCTCCTCATCCGGGGGCTTCTGAAGTGAAGCCTCGCGAGTCGAGGGGGAGGGATGGGTGGCAGGAAGTGCTTGGACAAAGCATGGTCCAAAAGGCAAGTTGTTCGATTGTACTTTCAACCTGTGTTTCAGAATCTTGCGAAGAGACACCGCTTGCCCTTGCCTTCGGTGAGTGGAAATCGTCCTCGTCAGACTCGGGTTCGATCCATGTCACAGACTGCTCCAGCAGGTAGCTGAGGCAAACCTTGCACAACCCCCGCAGGTGTTTGCGGGTGATGAACGGAGCTGGGATTGCAAGCCGAGCGTGGCCTCTCTCGTAGGCGGATAAAGTCTCACCCTGAAAAACCCAAGCAGCCCCTGGCCCTGGCTTGTGTCCCGGCGGCACGGTCAGACCGCCAATCGGTCGAGGCATCCTCAGCGGTTTCATCCACCTCCTTGCGAGTGCTGCAACACTCGGAGACACAGCTACTACACAGTCGATGGAGGTCTCTCCATCAAGGACAGTCGATGAGCCTCCACTAGAAAAGTTCTCCTGGCAAACGGTTTTGAGCCTTGCGGAGTCATTTTTCGATGTCCGTGCGGTCCATGACACAGAATGATACTTCTAGCACGTCATGCTGAGATTCTTCTTGGGCATTCGGCTTTCCCTTTTCGTCCGGTCGTTCTGCGGGAGTTTGGGGACAATGCAGCAAGCGCCTCCGGCCCGAGCGCCAGCGCCTGCTGCCGGCTGTGCGCCTCGCGGCCTCCAACTCCGGAGAAGCGGAGGAGTTTAAGAGTCGTTTACGAGCTTTCGACTCACACACTCGCAACTGCAGGCATGGCAATAAGTGTCCGAGCTTGCTACGTGCTTTAGCTTCAGGGGCATTGCTTTCTGGCTTCTTTGTTGGTGGTCCTTCTGGCACAATAGCACGCTGGATGAGACTCCTGATAGCGGAGAAGCTCAAGAATCGTAGTCGTTGGCGCTGTTACTCCTGAGTTTCCAAGGGCTGCAAGTCTCTGCTATGCAGTTGGCGACGAGTATTGAATATCCTAGTATCATGCTCGCGGAGATGATGTGCGCCGTTCTTCCTGATAGGCTTGGCCAAACGTGGGCAGCAGGCTCTTGCCAACAAACAGAGCACGAGAAACCCGCGACAAGCAGCGAAGAAACTCAAATACTGCCATACCAGTCTCCACGGGTCGCTTAATTCTTCTCAGATCTTCTCAGCTTCCCGGATTATGATTATGTCTTGAAAAGGGCCTATGCTTAACACTGGCCGACTTTTCGGTGCACGCCTACTGGCTGGACGTTGGTGCGGGAATCAAGGGTTTTCGGCGCGGACCTAGTGGAATACGTTTGTCGGGTGGCCTTCTTATGCTTAACACTGTCCTATTTTGGGGGCTGGTTGGATGCACACCGATGGTGCAGGCTTAAAGCGCTCCGGATCCATTTGTTTGGGTGGCCTCGTTATGCTTAACACTGTCCTAGTTTGCGGACTGGTTGCATGCACGCTTGGTGTGCGATCTTCACACACAGAAGCCAGCTGGCAAACCGGCGGCCTGCGTGGAAAGAGCTGCGAACTGCTGCCGGCGGCTCGGGCCCACGAGTGCCGAGCTCCAACCTGCGAGGCCAGCGGGGACTCCTCTCCCTGAGGAGAAAAGAGGCAGCCAAGGCAGCCAAGGCACAAGGCGATGCGGGCCAGGCGGAGCCAAGCCTCAGCGAGGCGCTCTGCTCGCCGAGAGCCTGCAAAGAAGGTCAAGGCGCATACGGCTGTGACACCATGAGCATCGCAGAACTTTGCAGTTTGGGGTGTTCACTGCCTGTGCTTCCGGCATCAGTTTGCTGTTGTTGGCATGGCCTGAGCTTATGCAAGACGATCTGGATGGCTCAGCTCTGATTTCACATTCTTGGCCAGTGACTGGGTCTCCATGGACGGAAAAAGGCATGACAAATTGGGAAGCTGGCACGAAAAGGGGCAAGCCATCCCCTGGCTGTGGTGAGAAGTCCAGCTCCACCTGGGGGTCGCGGCGCCAAGGCGAGTCAGTCCAAGCCCCTACAGGTTTGCAGATGGGCTTCTCCACGTGTCCCGTCACAGTCCTGCACAGAATCTAAGAGAATCGCCTCGTCATCCTCTACCTCATGGCACCCTGCACGGAAGGCAGAATTGCTGCTTGCAGGCAAATGCATCATGCGCGGTGCTTAAACAGAAGGCAGGCCTTCTCCCCGAGGGCTGCACTGCTGAATGGCGGCCTTCGCACATGACCTAGGCATGAGTCCACGCGAAGACCTGGTGCACAGCGCGGCTTAGGTTCAGCCAAGGTACACGGACCGCTTTCCTTATTGCACATTGGTGCATATACACTTGCTTCGCGGAAGATGCCCTGGTGTGGCTCAAGTGGCTGCGGGGGACCATCACTTCCCAGATCTCAGATCTGCCAGGGCTCTGATGGGCGCAGGTGTCTTGGAGGGAGACCTCAAGCATGTCGGACTTGGAATCAGGAGCGGAATTCGTCTACGAGTCGAGTTTGAGCTGAACCCTTGTTTTTCTGGCTCACAGCACTGCTACGGCCAGAAAGGACGCTTGTTCCCAGCGTCGCAGCCAGACTGAGGCAGGGGCGGCGTCCTTGTAGGACATCGCGGGGTCAAAGAGCCTCTTGTGGCTGCAGCGACCTTGGAGATCAATCATCAAAATAGATCGCGCTTAGTGGCCACAGAGCAAGGCCAGATTTCACAGAACGAGATGAGGCAACTCGCTCTGCCTGATAAGGCCATGGTCCAAGTGGCCACCTGCTTGATGGGCAAGCCGACCGGAGGGCGTGGAGGGTGATTGCCTTGGCAGACGCTCTCGATCCGCTTGGGTTGCATCTCACAGATTTCCCCGCGCTCAGCAATGAAGACTGAAGGCGGGCCAAGCTGCGAGGCACGGAGGGCTGACGCGGACGTACGACCTCCTCTCATGCACAGCGTCCGCCGAAAGCCACGGCAGCGCAAAAAAAAATTCTACATCCATCGCATAGCAGCCTGCACATGACATGACACGTTCAGCTCCTCGGGCATCCGCACCCCTGCTACAGCAGCCGCAAGGTCAAAGAACCTGTTGTCAGTCGTCGTCAACTGTCAGATTGTATGGACTTCTACGTGGTGCTGTGAATCTGGCCGCGACTTTGCTGGCCTCGTGAGCTAAAGGTGTCCTTTAAAAGGGGGAAAATCATGGCACAGTTCACGAGCCTGGAAGTAGTCGGCTTCCGCTTGCCGCCGACCGCCGCCGCGCCCGAGCCCGCTGGGAGATGTCGCATGGCTGTGGAGCCGTCGCCGGATCCCCTACTGTAGTACAGTCCTCACTCGGACCCTTATGATACTCTGCAGCCGATCTGCCCTGAAATTCCAAAGCACTTGAAGTTCATGAGTTTCACTGCAAGAGTCCTGGACCATTCGTGTGCACGTGGCTACCTTCTATGCCAGGAACTGCCGAATTTAACTTGGGGCCTTGGTCATACGCCAAGTCCTGCTAGCTGAGTGAAACAGCATCTGGGAGTTCCGCAAAGAAATCGAGCTGACGCGAGCTGGAAACCGAATGTCAGGATGGACGTCCCTGACCCTTGCCCCCTCTGTCCACATCAGCAGAGCCTTGGCTCGAACTCCGCACTGTAGGAGTTCCTTCAGCAAGGGATTCATGTACAGTGGCCGAGATGAAACGAGTCCTGGACATGTCACAAGGCCTAAGGCGGCAGCATCCTGAGCCCTTGACAAAAACAAATGAATAAAATAACTCGCAATACAGTGGAGCGGCAAGGCCCTATACAATTCACGAATTGCACCGGCTCTTGCAATGCCATGACTGGACTCTGCCCCCACCGCATGAAAGCCCTGTGCTTGGGGCTGGGCTGGCCGCGGATCTCGCACAGGGATCAACAAGGTCAGCACATTTCAGAATTCACTTCGAATTCGAATGCCTACACGGCAGGACGTCGCTGAACGCTGCGCCCAGCCTTGGCCTGGCCAAGCCCAAGCCTCCCGTGCCCGCCGTGTCCCCATGTGAAGACCTCGCGAGCTCAGAGCTCCGAGGCTCAAGCCGCCAGGCCACGGACTGGCGCTTGGCTCCGAGTTCCTGGCACTGCCGGTGGTGGTCAGTGCCACGGAATGCTTGGTCCCCGCGGCCACCTGACCAGATGCAGCCACAAATCCTTAAACGTTGGTTTGTGACCGCAGCCAATAGGTTGCAAACCGCCAAGGTGTCAGCCGTCGGCGACCATGCTCCGCAAAATCTTACATCCGCGCACAACCCTCAACGGGCAGCACCTGGTACACTGACACCACTCGCCTGCCATTCAGGGTGACTAAGGCTAAGGCTAGTAAATGGAATCGTCGGCCAGGTTGCAGAAACGCAGGAAATAATTAAGTTAAGAAAAATTATGAAACATGAATACCAAAAAACTAAGAATGGATAATCACCATACAAAAAACAGGAAATAACATTGGACAAAACACATGAAAAATGCATGAGCAGCACAATCCATGCAATACGGCTCGAACTACCATGGAAATCACAAAGCAAGCAGATTCGCTACGCATGTTTGACTACATGTTCAATGCAAACACAACAAAAAAGAATACGCTTCAGTCTTGAAACGGAAACTGTCTGCTGTAAACACAACGGCATAACGGAACGTGCAGAAAGCACGATGTGGGCGAGCGGGCAGTGTGGGTGCTGCGTTGGTCAGCGACGCTGAGCTGCATGGCAGACCGCGGTGCATGCTTCCGCACGGGAGTCATTATGTTGCTGCGTGCGTCTTTCCGTCGCCATGCGTCGCTGAGTGTGCCGGCGCGTGCAACGACACAGATAGCATGACCGTATGTAGGCCAACGTAGGCGGCGTTCCCGAACATACTTACATCCTATTGCGAAATCCGACCCCTCCGAGAAGAAACATGTTAAACTAGTTTAGCTTTATTTAAACCCTATTTACATCCTGTTCCGAAATCTGCCCTTACGAAAAGCCCTCCCAAATCCTATTCAACTAGTTCCTGTTTTTCCTTAAATAATTCCTTATATTTCCTTATGTGCCACCCTTGAGGCTGGCCAAGAGCCTTTACTAGCAGCGCCATGCAGACCGAAATGGCAGCACAAGCTCTTCTGCCATTGCCTGGCCTCTGCGCCTCTGCGTCCTGCACAAGAAGGCATAGCACCAAGCGCGGCACTATGTGGATCGACATACCAGTGCCGTGCCGAAGCCCTCCCTATACACGTGACGACGAAGTGCGGAAGGGAGAAAGCCACAGAGAGAGGAGAGAGAGGCAGTGAAAGAGTCTAGAGAAAGAGTGAGAGTCTAGAAAGAGGGCCAAGAGACAAAGAGAGAGCACAAGAATCTGACCGACGGTAAGACTTTGTGTTCTTAGATCTGACGGACTCCGGCAAAGCTCCCGCACCCGTAAATGACGGACACTGGCCTCTTCGGGAAACCACACTTCGGTGGGAGTGAAACCTCAGCTTGGACGAACCTCAGCTGGACCTTTGCCTACGGCGGCTCGGCGGCTACGGCAGAGCACCGAGGCTCGAATCACAGTAACGCACCTTACAACACCCCCCCAAAGCACGCTCATTTCGGGAAGCAACAGTCGGCCCAGGATCCGATCCCCAAGGCGCCGTAGCTTCCTTGGCCAACTCCGGGCTTTGCGTTCTCTTTAAAGCACATGCTTTCGCTCTTTCTTCTAAGTCGAAGATGGAGGTCGCCTGAGTCAGAGCCCGCTCGCTTCCTACCTTTTTCCCCTCTCGTGCTTTCGCCACGGAAGTCCGCGAAGCGCGCCGCAAGCTCTGCATTGCCCAGGGCTCGGAGGCGAGCCTTGCGCTGCTTGGCTGCTTGCGCGTAGCCTAGGCCTTTTGGGCCTACAGGGCCTAGAGCACAGGTAACGAACCTGCCGACACACAGAGCCAACACTACGCCTCCCTGGAAAAACACGCCCTCTAAGAGAAAAGAGGGCAAGCTAGAGTTGACGCTGGCTGCATAGATATTCCCAGTGCTGGAGCGTCGAAGACACAAGGCAAAATTGTCAAAGCTTCCGTCGCATCTTTCTCGCGAAACACCAAACATGCTTCTGCCATCTTGCACCCGGTTCTGCAACGTAAAGTTGCTAAATCCGGGTCGGGCAGTTGTGTGGACGACTGGCTCATGCCATGGCGTATCTGTTAAAGGGCATCAAGACTTACTTAGATACTTTTGCCAGCTGTAAGAGCATCTTCAGAGTAGACCTGCAGGCTGTCCACGTTTCATGAACATGCTGCATCTCAAGCCTCGCCGTAGCCAGGGCACCTTGTTGCGAAGGAGAAGCCCGAATGCTCCAGGATAACAGTCCTCACAAGCTTGAAATACTCCTTGAACTCCACCACGGCGGGCACAAGGCTTTTCAAGCAGGGCCTGAAAATTAGCGCGGCCTTGGGGTCTGTGGGCTTATGCAAAACTTCAAGAACAAGCTATCTTCTGCTGACATTCCACAACAAACGCCTTTAGCATCACCTCCCACGGGTCCTTATGCCTCGCTTTCCATTCGTCACGGGCTCGTTCCAGGTCATCCTGCCAGGAAGTGGAAGACGAATGCACCCACGTGGCGCGGCTGAAGCAGCACCTAATGCAAAGGAAAACAACATGGCAGCGGAAGGACATCAGAAATGTTACAGGTGTGCTCACGTCGACACTGGGAACAAAACACAAGTCTGATCAATAAGACACAGCTGATAAGTTGGAAAGGTGTTGACAAAGCAAAGCAATTATCGGTACACCAAGAGCTAGAGGCAAGGCTGCTCGGCATCCTAGATGTTGTGAATATAATTTCAGGGTGTCACAATGTAAGACACCATCCGACTGTGTGACAAAGCATGAAATCGACGATGATTTTCGACGAGCCGTTCAACTGCAAGAAAAGATTTCTGCATGGTCTGCACTGAACAAAATAGCATAGAATAGCTCCTGTGGCTTTTGGAGAAATTCACTACGTTGAATCAAAATCGGGGCGAATCCATGAGAGACCCTGCACAGCGCCATGCCCCAAATCCTTGCGAAGAAGCTGAAGAGTGGGCCACGGTGCCTCGGAGCCGGGCCAGACCTAGTGGGCCTCACTTGGTGACAGCGCAAAAACCCATCAGCTTAACACCGAGTCGCACGTGTGGTGTAGTGACCTGGGTCTAGCCGAGAGCCAACATGCAGGTTGAAACGGTGCAACGACTTCTCTACAACTTCGGCAATGTGTCAGGACGTTCTCCAGTCCAGCCCTTGGGACGGGCCACCTGCATCCAGCGGACTTGCACGGCACCCGGGCCCCTGGTCCTCAGCTGCCACGGCACGGCACGCAGCGTGACGGAGCGGCCAGGACAAGCCCCTCGTTGCCTCGCGAAGCGGATGGAAGGCCAGCAGCTCCAAGTCATCCTCTCGCAGCTCAGCAGTGACGCAATGACACTTCTTCTTTTTGTCATTATACTTGCTTCTGCTGCTGCTGCACAAGTCCTTCGAGGCGACCGCTGCGCACCTTCGTCCAAATATTACAACACGTTTCAATTCTTACTGTGAAAGACGCACATAGAACACATGTTGTCTGCACATGCTTCGCAATGAACCCGTGACCATGAGCCTGCTCTGTCTACAACCATGAACTATTCGCCACGGCGTCTTCTTCTTCAATTCGAGGTGTGTCTGCGCTGTCATGGCTCCCTTGACGCAAGAACATCCAGCAGGTCTTGATGGCAAGTTCCGTCAATGCGTCAAGCCTCTTCTGGCATACTATCCCAAGCCGAAGAACATGAAGGCGAAAGCACAAACAAGTTTGAGCTTGAGTAAATCGACTTGTCATCTGTCATGACCCGCAACTTGCTCGTGGAGAAAGTAGTTCAGGTACACTTCGAGACGTGTTCTTTCCGCTCCTGTGTTCTTCCAATGTGCTAACATGTGCAGGGGGCTCCGTATGGAAAGTAGTCTTCCATGTGCGCTGGGGCCCTGTCGTCCAAATCCTACCTGGGTTCGCTGCGTGTGGAATTATATTGTTCGGATATTCAACAGCACGGTCTTACTTGTTGATTCCCGCATAATAAGATCAGCTAAGCCAAGAGCTTGTGCAAGAGCAGCTTGCAGAAGCTCTGAGCCAGGTGCTCTCGCCAAAGCCTTCCGAAGTGCTTCAGCCCAGTCCTTCCCGAGAAGCCCTGCACAGGGAACACCAGAGCTAGCGTGACATCCTGGACTCAGCGCTCTTTCGATCCTCATCGGAGAAGACCGTGAGCGTGGTGGGCGGAGCTGTCCCGTTGTCGTTTGCCGTCCAGGCCCGCAGCTTGTGCCCTGAACTTCAGGCACCGCTAGCCACGCATCCTAAGGCCCTACAACTTGATCGGTTTTGCCAAGTCGCCGAGAACGTCGTCCATGCACAGCTCCCAGGATTTGGGACCATGCAAGCAGTGTCGGATGTGTGCCTAGGGCTCTTGAGCTCAAAAAAAAAACGCCGTTTGCCATGCCTGCCTCGGCCCCGAGCGCCCACGGGCAGAGCCCTTCGCCGGCCACGAACTCCCGTAGCCAAGCCTGGGTGCTCGCAATCACCTCGGAGTCATCTTTTCTTTTCTCAAAGGATGGCGAGGCTGCCTTCCTGCAACAAACTCGGCCCTGCACAGAATTTGTTGCTTGCTCTGTGGCTCCGTCTCTGCACGTGGAACCGCTAGCCGCTGCGCGACAAGGAACTCCCAGCCCAGCCAGTGACCTCCCGGCTTCGGGTCGCAAGATGGAGCGTGCCAGCACGCATGGGCAATGGGCGACCGTTTAGCTGCAACTGCCACTAGACTTCGTCACGTCTTCTTACCTTGCCTTTGTTGGCCTGCTGCGGGCACTGCTGGCGCCAGGCTGCTGAGTGCACTTAGGAAGGCTCGCGACAAACGTGCTGCCTCAGCCATTCACAGCATCCACATCGCACTGAGATTGGTTGTGTCTCCGCACCTTACTGTATGCCTATGCCTCTGCAGAGTTTGGGAAAAGAAAGGGCCACTCGCACCAACCTCTATCGAGGAGCTTCCTTGCGACTGTAGGCCGCCAGAATTCCAATCATCAGCCTGTGCTTGGACACTTTCCCTTCTCTTGCGGCGGCACCGCAGCCCGGGCAGATGTGCATGATGACATGTAATATGTGACATCTGCCGTGGTGCAGGGGCGTCGGCCGGCGGGCTCTTTGTCTCCGCATGGCTTGGGGCCGAGACACCAGGCTAGGCTCAGGGCCCCTAAAATCCATTCGCATGGCTTCGCTTTAACGGCTTAAGCGAGGTCAGCTAAGTATTGCTTCGGATGTTGGGGCGACCGTGAGCCTAAAGCGGCCTTCGCGGGGGGCAGCTCAAGCCAAGCAGGCCCAAAAAAGCAGAGCAGAGGATCAAGACATGGAAGACGTGGAACAGAAATGCTTTCAAACCACCGGATTCTAGATCCAAGCAGGCTGCGCCATAGTCATGCAGCCGAGGCGAGATCCCAAACCCCAAGCAAAGAGGCGGCCGGGCTCCATGAGGGCCGCACCTGGGAGCAACAGGAAACTCAGCTTGGCATGAGCCTCGAAAGCTCACCATGTGCCCAGAAGTCAAGCTCGCAACCATCAAGTATGCAACATGTGGGCTTGCACAGCCCCCCACACCGTGTCCTTTTCTTGCGCTTCTCGTTATTTACTCTGCCGGCTCTTCCGGCAATGCTCGAAAGCCGAGAGGACCTCTTCGTGGCAGACTGCGGCCGCCTTGACCTGGGCTAGTTGGCAAACCTCACACAGCTTCAGGCTTTCAAGTGCTCTCGCTCGAAACGAGAGTGAGCTCGACACAACGCAAGGCCACTAAAGGAGAAGCTGGTTGCAGGATGTTGCAGGTAGAGACTAGAGTACCTCGAATTAGAGTTAGCGTGACGCCTGCAGTCAAGGTACGTGGTTTGTCTTTTCCCGGAAATCACGCGTGCAGCGCGAAACAGCTTCCTTCAGGATCCCATGGGCCTCCCACGACGACGAGATCTACACTGGTGGCACTATGGGTCGAGGGCTTAGACTAATTAGTCCGCAACTCGACGCTCGGCTCACTTGACATCACACCTGGGTGCCTGCATCAAGTTTTCGTTCTCGACCTCGTTCATCCTAAGAGCGCGGAGTGAATAACAAGCGGGATCTGCACCCAAGCGCAAGTTCGCTTGTCTAAACATGTTGCACCCACAAAACTCAGTAGGGAGCCCAGCTAATTCAGAGAGGGCTCCAGTAGTCATAGCACTTGTAGCGCAGCTGTTTCCAGTAGTTTGCCATGTGGCTCTGTTGATCTGGTGACAAGTGCGTTGTCCAGGTATCGTTCTCCTTGGTGTGCAGTCGTCCGTAGACATGCCTTCTGATGAGCGAATCCGATGAGAGTGTTGAAGCCCTGCTCGGTACATCCCGAAGCCCCACCCAAAGGCAATCTTCGCCTTGCGGCCACCCGAATGGCAGCCCGATGGCCACGCTCTTCAAGGAGCGCCTCGTTACGCTGATAGGTGCCCGTCCTAGGTCTCACGCAACGCTCCGCTGACGCGGTGCGTCGCGTTCGGATTTTGTGCGACTTTACTAAAGCCTGGTGTCTGACCAGGGAACATCTGCTCTGGGAGCCTATGGCTCGAAAACTCAGGGAGAAGAGTCCACTCTGCTTGGCACATCTTGGCCCCTTGGCTTGGCCTGCCTATGTCTATCGGCTAGCAGCTAATTAGAGCGTCTAAGACACTATGACACTTCTCTCTTACCGTTATAATCTCTGCTGGATCTTCGATGCCGAGCCATTTCGAAGACACGCACGAACACGCACACGCACGCACACACACACACACACACACACACACACACGCACACACAAGGCAGGCCCGCAACACACGCACTGACAAACAACGACTTGACCCCAACATGCTGGCCCAAATGCCCCTTTAGCACCGCACCTGGCAATATTTTTTCTGCGAAGCATGCTCACAAGTCAATAATATGTCCAGATGTGGAGACGCAGAAGGTGCAAGAGAGCCAATCAGAATGCATGTATTAAGGGTTCCGAAATCGCTTTGCTATTGGCCCACTGTTCTTTGCATCTGTTGAGGCAGCCGACGGCCGCAAAACTGTACAAGGACGACTTAGGAGCTCATGGATAGATATGGAGGTGCGGCATATCTCGATTCTGGTTGCCAGGGATTTTTCTGGCTGGCCGCCTGCAGACCGCATCTTGTACGCTTTCACTGCCATGCATTGCTAGTTTCAAGCACACTTCTTTCTGCAGCAGTCGCCACGGCCTACTCGAAGGGGAGCAGCTCAATCCTCACAGGCGGCCGGCGAGTGGTATCCCAATACATATCGAAACACTCGCTCCAACATGAAGCGGGAAGAGCCCGCAGGAAAAACAAGTCTCCTCATCGTCGTTGAAATCTGCGAGGGTGTTGAAGATCTTGGCCCCGACGGCACTCCTGCAATAGGCTTGTCATACACACTGACACACACACACACAGAGACCCTGCTGAATCGAAAAACTCACGCTGCCACATGTGGCCCAACTTCTGCACCACACAGCACACTTACATGCATCGCTCCAAGCATGAGTGTTGATTGGCACGTTCTGCATGACCTGACAGCAGTCGCAATGCCTTTTCATCCATCTGAAACTCGAACCTACCTTTGAGAGCAAAGGCCGTTCGACATGCACACTCCCAGCTTGGAGCAGGGCGTCGAAGTCATCATCACTATCGTAGTCGGCGAGGCGCTCAAAGATCTGTCACGGCGTCGAAAGGAAGTGCTGAAGACTGGACAGAATCAGTCCCTTTTTTGATTCTTGGCATCTGCTTCGGGTGGAAGCAGCGACAACCCTGCACACTCTACAGCACCTCCAGCCAGCTTCCACCACTCTCTGCACAGCCGGTGCCTTCCGTCCCACAATGCTCCAAGACTGAACATCGATCTCCTGATGGAAAGCTGCTTGAAGCCAGGCTGTGGGGTAGGGCGTAGGGGCCCTGAAAGGCGTTTGCTGCCCCCAACTGAGCCTTACAGGCCTCCTTCTCGACATCACTGCCGCTGGAGTCCACGGTGCTGGTCTCATCTGCATCAACCTCCGAGACGGCACCCAAGCTGCATTCCTCAGGGAGGGTCGGAGAGTCCTTTTGTTCCTTGGCTCGCTAGCCATGTCCGCAGCATGCGGCAACAAAGAGCACTGCTCCTGCGCAGCTGTACAGCAGCCGCGTTACCGGAGCACTCATCGGCCAGTCTCTACATTGGCCGTGGTGCTGAAGGCAATCGTCAGCTGTCTTAAATTCGAAGAAGCGCAGTCACCCGTAGCTCCAGACAAGATCAGAAATTCAGAAACAGCCCCCTTTTGGGGTTACTGGTCTGCCTCAAGCGGCAGACACCCAGCAGTCGCGGAAAGGTGAGAACGTTCTGTTTCGTTTGCAAGCACTTGTGGGCAGCTCCTCTTCCACCTCAATAAAAGTGTTCCGCACTACCGTCTTCAGTCTCGCATCCGAAGAACACAGCCGGTGATCCGACGCGACATTCTGCTCCTCAGCGCAGAACCGGGGCTCCCGGATTTCATGCACGCCAGGCGCCGCAACACCGCCGCGAGCGTGTCGGTAGGCGGCCTTCTGCAGTCGGTAGGCGCGGTGGAAATTGTCTTGCACTCGATCCCAGTCTTCACGCGACATGGCGCACTGGTAGGGCAGAAGCTCCTGCCCGTCCATGGACTGATACAAGCTCGCCTGCTCACCGATTCTCTCTAAGAACAAAGTGAGATACTCCGAGAGCAGAAAGCTGCTGCTACCAACCATTCCTTAGCTGCTCAGCTGGCTTCTAAGGCACCCTTGACTCACAACCTAGGACAGGGGAGCTTTCAATTGCTTCAAGGGGCAATTCGCGAGTCGTTAGATTGTATCTTTCTGGATTTCTGGACAGATATCATGCCAGAGCGAACTCCCTGGAAATTGGACCAGGGTTTGCAGTCCTCTTATCAAGCAAGCCTGAGGCACCCCCGCCTCCCCACGGTACCCGCTTTCCCAACGACTGTCGCAGCAGATGGGAACAACAGGTTTTCCCATGGCATGTCCACCCAAGCCACAAAATCTCCTCGTTCCTTCTTCCCCGCTCCCTTCCACCCTTCCCCTTTTGGTGTCACCTCCTCGCCATCACCAGCAGACAGTACTCGACAATGCCCCAAGGAGTCTACCAGGACCGCTTCTGCGAGCTGAGTTCCGTCAGAATCCACAGAGCCGTCGACATATTGTGGGGTTGCCGAAAAACTGTTGGGCAAGGTTACAGATTTCGCGTGGCAAACAGATCGATAGATGTCAGGCCCGTATGATGCCGTTGCAAGTAGTTTTGTAACAAGGCTACCGCAGTCATTGGCTGAGACATGTGACGGAGGGAAACCGCGTTGTTTCGCTGGATTCAAGTCCATATCAGAAGTGGTATTTTGCCATGTGTGGTTCAACCAGGTTCGTGAAGTGGAGTTGGACCTTGATCAATTGGCTAAACCACGAACCGCGAAATGCTTTCCACGATGATGGTTTTGTTGGCCAAGGTGCGCGGATGATATCGGACCCAAGACGCGAGCCCATGCCTTTTGCCTGCATCAATTGTCGTCACGTCCTGTCACGAAATCAAGGCAGCACACAAAAGCATGCAAGCGCTGTCTCTCCTCCTGCGCCAGCTCGTCCGCCGCCGCCGGAACCAGGGGTCGGCCCCGTCGCCAGCTTTGGATGGTGAGGACGACATAGCACTGCATGTCCCGTGTGCGCATCCTGAGAAAAAGCTTGAAGACATGGCAGGGTCCCCAGAGCCCCAAGCACTACAAATCGAGAACTGCAAGAGCGGTCTACAGAGTCTACAGGCTCCATCGAGCGCGCGAGCTAATTAGGTGAGAGAAGTAAGGTGAGGAGACGGTGCTCCTTCCAGGCTGGCCTGAAATCATGCTCGAGGGCTCGAAACTACTGCTTTCTGCACCAAGCACGTGCACGCCCGCTGGCTGTTCTCAAGCAGCGTTGGTTCGCACACGAAATGTTTACTGCAGTTCGACTGACATGACCCTCGAACATCTAAAGACCACCTGTCCGACCATGCCAAGCAACTCAACAATGCCAGGACGGTTCACGAACCAATCTGCCAGACGCCTTCAGGGCTCCGGGGCGAGGCAGGTTGCTGTTGGCGTGATTGTTTGGTTCCCTCTTGACGAGCCACGAGCAGCACTCTTCGACTTCCTGACTTCATAGTCCGACTATAGTTCTGCCAGGGCTTAAATAAGGCGCGCACGGCCCACACAATCACATGTTTTATCATTTTCATTATACTGGATTCGCCCTCCAGGGAAGCAAGTGGTGTTTTTGGACCGGAGTCCCAACGACGGCACGCGAATGCACTGCAACTTGCAATGGGTTCACCTCCCACCAGGCATAGGGAGGCAAAGGTGCAGGAGCGAGGCCAAGGGTTCAAGGTGTTTCTTTCGGGCGAGCCTTTGTCTCGGACCTCGTCCCAAATCCCAACTAATCATCTAATCGCTCTTGTGGCAGGATGTGCATGGCTGTGCGCTCCGACTTCGTTCAAAGACTACGGTTCTGGAGTCTTGGGTTGAGTCTTCTCGGTGTTACTGGCACCTTGCTGCCACAACAGGAAAGTTGAGGCGGGCACAGTGAATGCGACATATGTCTGTTGTGCATTGCACCGACTTCAAGTTTCAAAAATGGCAAGGGGCAACTTGGCATCATCTTTTGTAGGGTTGTCCTCTACGTCTGCCTCAATCAGCGAGGGGTCTTTGTCTCCTAGTTCGCAAGGACGAGCCCGCATCGCAGGGTGGTAGCGGTCTCACAGATCTCAGCACTTTCGACGAGCCACTTAGCATGAGTTCGATGCTTTGTAAGGTTGTCACAAAGTTCTCTATGTGTCGCGGAGCAACATGTCATGACAGTACATGTTTACTAAATATTCGGCACAGGGGTTGCACGGCTTCAAGAATGTCGACGGTGCAAGATATGACTCGACGAATGACGATGATTAATGTCGTATCCCACGTGACGTTGGCATCGAAGTACCCCCCTCATTGGTTGACTAATGCTTTTCAATGGCTTGCCCACATCCAAGCACGATACAGAAAGGCGGCAAAGCCACCACTTCTCTGAGGCATGTAGGTTGGGTTTCAGATCATCGCGAAGGTGGCAAACTCAGATTTCTGTGCTGTGGACTTACATGTACTGCAAACTTCCATTGCAGTCGCCGCACTTCGGATGAGGCGCCATGTCCGTCAGAAGCATTTTATTAATCATTATTAGCAGTCCAAGTCGGAGTCACCTGGAAGATCAATTCTTGCCTCCTGCAAATGACAAAAGGATTTTCTGATTGGGCCTCACGCGCTCACGTACGCCAGATGCGTACAGGTAGCAACGACGGCTGGCGTCAACATCTTTGCCCATTGAAAGCACTCATGTGCAGCAGATACATGATCATTCCATCTCACCCAGGCGCATCCACCCCTTTTATTATAGCCAACCCAGAAGGACAAAGCGCGATGATGGCTAGTCAGCGGTTCTCTTTCATTGGCCGTACTTATATGCAAAAAGTGTCTGTGGTCATCGTAAAACTGTCGTGGTTGCGAGGGTTAGCTCCCAGAACTATATGGCGAGCTTTGTTATTGTTTTGGTCCATACCTGCACCTTACGCACTCAGGAATGCAATCCCATGCGCCAACCAGGTTGGCCGTGGTGCTGGCTTGGCCTCGTTTGGCTTACAGTTCAGGAAGCCGGCAACTGTCTCATAAGTGACAAATACGCTCTTCGACGTCGAAACGCTGTTCTCGGGTCAAGGAGGCACTCTGTATCTTAGGCGGTGTGGCCTGGAATTTGGATCTCCAGCATACGTCAAACCAGGAATCCCAAAACTCAGAGCCCACTGCCGGCCCAAGCCTCACAGACCCAAATCCCAACCCCAAGCCCAAGCCTAAACGCTTTCCACACTGGACCAGGAGAGATGAAGGGACTGGAGGGGAATGAAAAGGACAGGAGAGGGAAAGGGAGGGTAAGCTAGAGCAGGGGAATCGCAAAAGCAGCCTTCCGTGCCTTCCCGACTCAGATAACACGGCAAAGTGCGCGGAGACCCAGTCGGCAAAGATGTTCCTGGGCACCTGCTTCGGGTTGTTTTCTGCAAGATCCAACACTAAAGCCAAAGCGTCAAGGGATCATGCCAAATGTTGCACCCGCAACACCATGTCCACGACAAAGTTGCCAGGCTCCTGTGGCCGGCCCAGCAGTAAAGCCTCGAAAGGCTCGGAGAGACTCTGCATTGCCAAGGCCTCAGAATTGAAGACAAAGGGGGGATGCTGCAATCCAACAGTAGCTCATGCGCAAACGCTACTGTAGGAGCCGTCACACACAAAAGGGGTGCAGACTTTCCAGGGACCCAGAAACTAGCCTGCCTGTTTCCATGCTTTGCGATGCCCTATTACGCATCTGCGCTTCGGTTGGCTCCGCCTCTCTGCCGTACTGAGTTGTCGATAGACCACCACCCCCACCCGACCAAAGCTCGCACATTCCGAAACGGACCAGTCTGTACCCAGCCGGCGGGCGCTGTCGCCACGCTGCGGATAGTTCCTGCGAACGACCTGACGAAGCTTGCCCGGCATCACCGGGTGGTAGAAGTGTTGGAGGAGGCTCTGTCCGCCTCAGGCCGACAATCCAACATTATACATGTCTTAATGGAAACAGGGATGCGTTGCAAAGCTTAGCACCGAGGGGCCCAGCGTGCCGAAGAAGAGAACACAAATTCGGAAGAACCTTGGCGCAAAACCCAACAGTGACTGCAACGGCACATCTCGTGATCCTCGGCATTTCGTTGCCTGCGAGAAGGCCCACGGCTCCAACCGGAAGTCACGCCAAAACACTTCCATGATGCCCATCGCTCCACTATCGCCTCGCCTGGCGCAAGCTGGTCCAGCACCTTGCTTGCCATTGCATATCCATTCAAATCTCAAGGATTGGCGGGTTCTTTGAGCGCCTCGAACGTCTCATCCTTCAGCTCCGGATAGGTGCCTTAAGGAGGTGGGAGCATCCAGAGCATACTAACCGAATCCCAGACATCCAATCCAAGGCACGCAATGCCCATGCGCGAACCTCCGGTCGCACGAACAGATGCGAGGTGTCGGCGAGTGGGTCGTGAACTTCGATGTCCTTCATTGAGAACCTGTGGGCGGTGGACCCGGTATGACTCGACCAACGGCATCCACTCAAAGCCACAACAGAACATTTGGATTCATGTGGCCTGACGATATGCCCGCCCCATGGGCTGCTTCGGTGCAGAATTGTTGTGTTGCGGTTTTGCCTTCCGAAGAAATCAAAAGGAATAAAGAGGAAGAGAAAGACTAAGCAGCGAGCAACGGTCAGCAAACAAAGCGCCTGCCAGCCGGCCACGAGCCAGCAATCTGCCAACCCTCATCCTCAAGCAACGTCGGAACGAAGTGAAACCAGTCCTGGCTAGGTGTTGCGGCGTGGCAGCGACGCGGACACAGGCCGTGCAAAGACTATCGTCATGTGTATATTCAGCAAGTGTTTCGAGGAGAACAGCTCCTCGACACTATCCGGACGGACCATCGTCTTAATTTTGCTATGTCATCCCCTGCGGCGCACTTGAGCCATCAGCGAGCGGGTCATGACGGCAACCTTTGACCTGTTGAAGGAGCTTCTGAAAAAGCAGAGAGAGCCGGGGCCTTGAAGTCACCGGTCACGCCACGGCTAATCCTTGATCGCCGCGGGGCGCGTCTCGACAAGCCCTAGAGTCCGTACCAGTTCGGGTGCCCGGCATCTCAAACACCAGCGTTGGTGGTTCCACGGTACACGGGGCATCTGCCACCGCAAGCACCGATGATCCTCTCTACATTGGGGACATCCTAAAGCTTTCCACCCACGGCAAGCAAGTCGTGCACATTGGTCGGTGGCAACTGTTTTGCAGAAGAGCCCATGTCCTGGAATAGGGTTGGACCTGAAAACACGAATCTGATGTGACTTTACTGTGGGGGGGGGGGGGCGCACAAAAATCAGCATCCCGAAGCTCATGTCCGCTACAACTCCAGGCTCTCGCACACGAATACTCAGGTCTATGTGCTGCAAAGCCACATGGAGAGATATTGCTCTCCTGAGTCCATATGTTTAGTGATAGTGAAACAACATCGCATCCGAAGGACATGACCAAGAGAGTACATCGAAGACACAATGCTGGGCACTGCCTGGATGACCAAGGCTCGGCTGCAGAAGCAGAAGTTGGAAGCTTTCTTGTGCTAACGGCTTCAACTGGAGCCAAACACCACAACATGATCGGAGATCATGACCGGTGTCTCAAGTTCCAAGAGAGCCAGCCGGAGCACTTCACAGAACTCGATGCACCCCGTAGCCGTAGACTGCCATCGCAACTTGAAGCATCCTCGAACCTCGAGCCTTTCGAAACGTCCTGGGGCTGGCACTCCATACCGTGACCTGTGGTCAGTCAATCATGTTCTGTGTAATATCCGCAGTAGGCTCATGGCGTGTTTTTCGAGCTGAGTGCATTGGCTTTTCCACCCTACAAATCATTCCAAGTTGGTTTCTGTCTCAGCACCAAGCAATGGCAAATGTGTGGTCCGCACCACAGGCTATCCTCTGCCTTGTGGCATCAAGCGGTGAATGTCCCGGCACCGCAAATGCATTCTCAGGGCTTTTGTCTGAGTCAGGTGCACGACCACACGAAATCCTTGATGAACGGGAAATTTCACCTGTGCAAAGGCAAAGAAGCAAAGCCGCAATTAGAGAAAGCATGCTGTGTCGCATGTAACACGGAAAGCTGTTTATGCCGTTTCTCTCCAGCTGCTTGTCCATCGTAGGAACTTCTCGGGCACTTCTGTTGAGCGCACCCGGTATAAGTGCAGGTGGAGGAACCTAGTGGACGTAAAACGCCGTGCTTGAGGACCCATGAACCGATTCATGGCTAGGTAGGACAGGCATTTCAGAAGAGCTGTCTTGGCACTGAAACACCTGGAACGACAACTAAGAAACTAAGTTTGAGAAGCGATGCACAAGTAGGCTGCAGTTGCCATGAGCGCATGGGGAGCACGGAAGCATCGACGAACTCTAGCTGTAGCTTGAACTCGCACATCCGCAAGTTCGGACTTGCGACATTTCGGCAGTGCAGGAGCACACTCTCGGACCTCAAGCCCAGAGTGCGCACGCCTTTATGGCACTGGCTCTCAAAATTGTGGGATGTCAGAGAGTCAAAGGACAGAGAGATATCGGGACTTGAGGGCGAAGTGTGGAGGGCTATTGGTAAAATCACCCAGTGTTCTGCATCCCTGCAGCAATACCCTGTATACTCACAATCATGGCATCGGCAAGCTCCTCGGAGGTCTGCTCGCCGGCTTTGCGCAAGCCTGAGCAAAAGCCCTCCGACAGCCCCGAGCAAGGCACAGCTCAGCGTGCCAATAACATCCAGTAAGAACCAAGGGAGGTCATGGGAGGATCACGAAATCATTCCCGGTGCACTAGAGACCTGCAACATGTCATAACGTGTCCAGGCTGCGCTGAAGCACTTCAGCTTGAATCACGTGAGTTGCATCCAGATACGGCCTGAAGTCAAGCATGGCATTCTGGAACTTGTCCCTAGTTCTCGTCGCAACGACACACTTCTCCTGGCCTCCGCATTCCTATGGCCAACTTCGTGCTCGGCTCCGCGGATAAAACCTCCTTCGCCTGCTTGACCTGAAAGCTCAATGCCGTCCCTTGGAACGATTCAGGAAGGCCCACCCGAGCACTACCAAAACTGCACAAGCACGCACCTGAAGGACGGAAGTGGTTGCCTGCGCCAATCGTTGGCGGAGATCCTGGGCAGGAGTGCAAAGATCAGAAGCTTCTTCGGTTCGGGGCCGCAGGCAGTGACAGCCTGACCCAAGGGCTTCAGCGCGTCTTCGCAAATCTTCGAGTCGTAGTGAGCTGCCTCGAAAGGCTGAGGGGTCTCTGAGAGTTTCCCAGCCAAGGAAGTGACCCAAGAAGGAGAACACCACGTGCAGTCATTCGAGCCTAGCCACAATATGTTCATCGGCCTTGCCTAGCTCAATGTCGATAAGGTCAAGCATGGATTTGAAGAATGGCCACTTCGAATACATCGACTGGAGGAGCCTCTGAAACGACAACAGAGAGCGTCGAACACAGTCTAATGCAGGCTCAAGCTTCTAATGCTTTCCAAGCACTGCAGTGCAGGTCACTGCATGTAGCTGCGAAGCTAAATCAAAGCTGTGTTGCTGTAGCTTGCCGTCTGTGATGAACTTGTCCAAGGCAGCGCCGTTGCCTCAAATAGGCGGCTTATCAAGTGGCTTCACTTTTTAATTACTGCTTGTTCCAATGATATTCAGAACAAGCCGCCTAACCACACTGGCAGCAGAAGTCGCGTCTGTGTCCATGCGAAGATCCAGGGAATTGCCCTCGAAGCATTGGACGTTTCGTCTGATGTGAGGTTTGGAGCGCCCGTGCCCAGACTGCAGAAATTCAAACTTACCAGATGCCCGAGGAGGACGATGCTAAGCGTTTACAATTATGCTAGCGTAGGACAGTGTAGGCCCCCAAACCTCGAACACCTAGCAGAGCAGTTCAAGCCCCAGAACCAAGAACCTTTCCAACCAGCGAGGTTACCAAGGGGCACACTACACTATCGCAGGGGCACATACCCCAGAACAACTGTGGTGTGAGCACGATTTAGGAGGCGCAAAAACAGTGTGCCCCAAAAACAGGCGGCACGGACGGGACTGTGGTGTTTGCGACACTGGTTGTAACACGGGACTGTGGGCCCATGATGCGCACAGCGCTTTGGCAGGAGCCATCGCGCGTGCAGCCAGCCAGTTCCCGGAGTGTTGCCATGCAAGCACTGAGAGCACAAAACACTTCGAACTTGCCGTGCGAAACCAAGTGGCCTCAGCGTGTCGATTCCTCCGTAATTCCGTCGCTTGGCTGGCCTTGAACCAATATTCATCCTCAGATGCTTACAGGGACGTGATGTTTGGGAGACATGGCAAACAGAAGCCGAGATGCCAAGACATGCACCGGAAAGATTTGGGATCCTTTTTGAGCTGGAGGCTGTGGCCTGCCAAGCTTCTGTGCTAGCTCTGCCGAAGGGGTGGCAGCATGGAAGTACCTCAGGATGACCACATTGCTTACGTGGCCGAAGGCTCGGGTTTTCAGTCTCCAGCAGTTCTGCTTTCGGGCCTGACGAATTGCCAAGCAGCTTCACAAATTGATCTTCCGGCGAGCGAAAAACGGTTGTCTGGTAATCCTGCGGGACAGAACAGCAAAAGACCAAAAGGGTGAAATGGCACAAGTCTGGTAGAAAGCCCGGGCCCCCTGGCAAACGACATCAAAGCAAACGCATCAAGCCAACTGAGGAAAAATCCAACGTTTTCGACCCCGAGCTTTTGCAGTACCACATGCGGGCGATGGAAAGCACCGAAGACTGCTTAGGCACAAAAACTGCCATGACAGGCGAGGGCAGCAGGATTGCGGCTGGATGGTGAGACACCGAAAGCCCTCCTGGACACACAGCAGTCAGGACATCGCGACACAATAAGCGGGAATAAGCCGACAACGGGACATCAGGTGGGAGAGACATGAGAGCACAAAGGACAACAGAGAAGCGAGACACCGGAAAACATGAAACGCTTGGACACCAAGACTACCTGAGACATTTCCAAGGAGTCATGGAGGGTGGTTCCTCGCGTTTCCGCGTGGCCCCGCCCTTGTGGGGAGGTGCAGCCCACCAGGCCGACAGCAAGGATTTGCCTCGTCCTGGGCGATGTCTGAATGCCGCAGGATGTGCTCTTGGAGCGGGTCGCATTTTGCAAGGCATCCCACTAGAAAACGTCGCCGGCTTTAACTTTATCATCCAAGTGCTTGGAGTGCTAAGCATGCTTTCGGAAGATGTGTTGCTTGGGTCTCTTTTGGTGGTGATTTCAAAAAAATTCGCTCCAGGCTTGCAAGACCGGGCATTTGCCCTGTACCAACTTTGTTGAGAAGTGAATTTAGGCAAGCTGGGAAGCCGCTCGACTCCGGAAAACAAAGTAAGTGAAAATCCGCAAAGTTGGTTCGGCGTGCGTGGGAAATCCAAGAAGTTGGTCGGAAGTCAGACTCAAGAAAGACTCAAGAAGATTCCAGCTTTCCCTGTGCAGCACCACATGCAGGAGCTTGCTGCCCGGAGGAAACAAGCTTGAGTCACTGTGCGATCTCGGCCGTTTCTTCTTGGTTGGACTACTGTAACTGCACAAGCAAAAGCCCGTTGTGAGTCGTTGCCCACAGTTTCCAAGTGTTGCTCACAGTTCCAAACTCCGTGGCAACGGCTCGACCAGGGTCTTTTACCCGTGCAGGTTGAATCCAGGCAACCAAGACAGTTTGCATCCCGGAAACCGACCAGTGCATGTTGAACCATTAAGCCAGGGGATCCCCATGTAAGAAAGTTCGTCTGGTAGGAGCTATATCAACCGCTAGCGATTGCAAGTAGCAGTGAGGACGACTAAGAGAAGGAGAAAGGGGTAGGGAGACAGAGAAAGATGGAGAGAGACGGCGAAGGTCAAGCCACAAGAATCAAGAGAGGGTGCTCTGCTGCATCGCCGAGCATCAACTTCTAGAGAAGCTCGGCCGACGAGACGACGGGACACACCACCAAAGGAACGCCAGACGAACGAGACGCAGCGTGACCAGAAGACCGTGTCCCCCACTTCAGTACATGCATGAAGGTCTTTTGGGAATTAGACGTTTCGAAACTATAGAGACAATGAGGAGACCTGCACCTGCCGCAGTTTCACTGGCCAAGCCCTCCTTAGTCCTTGGCGGAAAGATCTGCCAACTCTTCCATCGCAGCCCGGTGCTCCGGAGACGGCAGAGGCGGAGGCGTAAGAATATGTTCGAGCACCGCCACCTGGCCACCGAGCTCTTGGACAGAAACACTGGTTGCATGCGAGCTGCTGCCCGAGCCACTGCATATCGCTCCATGGTGTGCTCTGCCACCTCTGGGTTCATGAAGTGCCTCAGCATGTCCACCACGCATGTATGGACTTGTGCTTCTGCATTGCTGCTGTGCATCAGATGTGGTTCGGACAAGGTGCTGCTGAATCATCTCGCCTTGCACTGTGAGACGTAAGTGGCGAGTGATGGACCCCGCCGGCTGGTTCAGAAGCCTCGCGTTTGGGTGTGTCGTACGTCCGCTGGTGCACTTCTGCTTCTTCCCGGACCCCTCTCTCCCTCTTTCTGTCTCCCTCTCTGTGTCTCGCTCGCTCTCTCTCTCTCTCTCTCTCCCTCCCTCTCTCTCGCAGACTCAGTCAACTGTCAGCCGCGACGCGACGCGAAACACGACGATTTCGCTATGTGTGCGTGTGTTTGTGTATTTAAATGAAAATAAAGTTGGGAAATGGGGCTACTGAAACAACTACAAGGACTTCACATGCATCGCCGATTCATGTGTCTGCATATCCCATGACCTTGCACAACGAATCCGACAGGAATCGACTAAAATTGTTTCCAAGACACGTGAGGTGAGGAGGCCCGCCCCCGCGGCTGATCGTGCCGCCGCGGCCGTGGAAGAATGTGACCTCCACTCCATGCCTTGTTTCCGGATGGATGCGTCCTTGAAAGTCCAAGATGACTTGGCTCCAGAGTGGCTTGGGCGCCGGCTTCTGGCCGACTTCCACCAGCTTCTCCATGGCGACCTGACCGAAACTGGAGAACGCAAGCTGCACCCCCAGATGTGTTCAGGACGCAGCCAAGGCTACGGCATGTAGGGCCCAGGTGGACGCGAATTTCCCCGCATCCTGGCTTGAGACGTCGCAAAGCCTTGTCTGGAGCTATTCCGCAAAAAGCGCTGGATGTGACAATCACGGCGCCCCTGAGCCTCAAACAAAGAACAGCTTACAGGTGTGAAGGACCAGAAACGAGCCACTCAAGTGCCTTCACGGAGTCGGAGTAGCCCAGCATGACCTTCCGCAGACCGTCCCATCAGTTGTGGAATGAGAAATCGGCCCAGCATGCAACTCCAAACGAAGCCTCATGAACATAGCTCGTGTTGCTCAAACTTTATGCATGGCTTCACGACACCATGCTTTCTGTGCCGTCGAACACCCCCACCTCCTGCTTGCCGTTAACGTGGTCCCTCGGCTGAGCCACGACGTTGGATGCAAAGGAACTTTGGCACCAGCGGGCGACCGCGAAGCACTGCCCACAGACTACTCAATCGTGCTACTCCCATTGCACAAGTTGACGAGGTGCTTGTACCAAGGAATGCCCAGGAGTGCATCGATCACACGAGGTGCTGCCTGCAGGTCCTCCCTGGTCTCGAACCTCGCTTGGGGTGCAAGACAACAACAGTTAAACTCGCATTCGTTCGTTCTTTCCCAATTGTTCGATGTTTCCCCAATTTCTCGCCAGATGCTTGGAAACATCCCCGCTTTGTTTTCCCCGTCGATCGGCCGAACCATTTGCCCTGGTGTGTGAGCTGTGGCTCCAGCGTTCCTTCGAAAAAACAGCACCTGCGCATTACATCAGGCCAAGAAACCCACACGCCCCTGCCACCCCCCACCTCCCAACCCCCCAGGCAAAGGAAATATTGGAAAAAACGAATTGCCGCAGCCCTAGTTGCCCGTGAGCTTGTCTCCCATTCTCCCGCACCTCGGGCACTATCCACAACGTGCTCTTCTCACCTCATTCCCAGCCCACCCATTGGCTTGTGTGGTGCACATCGAGCTGAAGGAGTTACATGGATACGACGTGAACACATGCAGAGCGCAGGTCCCCGTAGCCACACAGTGAGATCAAGACCTGTGCTGTTCAGTGGGTCACAAGTTGGCAGCCAGTCACAAGGGGCTGATGCGCATGAACTGCTTCACGCCGCCGATCTTCTGCCTGTACTGGCCAGCTGTGCTGCTCATCTGGAACCACAGACAGACAATGCAACCTACGAGGCCATCTACCAACTTGGCAACCCAGCTGCAGCAAGCAAACCGCCAGTATGTCTGAGGTGGCGCGAGACATCCTGAGTTGAGACGCTCACAGCTCCGCAGCTTGGCAGCTCCAGCTTGCCGTGTCTTCTTCCTGCAGCTGTGCCGCGAAATGCAATAGGCACCCACAGTCTCTGGAGGAAGGTCTGCGATCGTGCGGAACCTGACGCGAAGCACGGGCCGAGAGGAATGTACCCAGAATGTACCGTCAGGCCTCACAATGCAACACCAACTCGTGCATGAACAAGATTGCAGCGATTTCAGCACATGCCATGGAACGTCTCAATGACTTCCTGAACAATGTCGCCCATTGGCATGTCTGGTGACCTTCAGATTTGCAGTCGCCCGTGGACGGGGTAGGAGAGGTGGCAACGGTTTCAGGGCGACCGCTCCATCTACAACTAATGGGAGGGTGGCGCAAGCTGCTAAGTGCTAACGCACGACGAATGTCAAAAAAAACCGTTACGCAACTTGAACGTCCAGATCCACCGCTACAGCCTGAGCTGACAAGAGGCAGGAGAGGACGCCGGGACTGGATCTCGTCAAGAAGCCAATCACACTTCGCCTGCTCCGTCCACGACGAGTAGGACCTGGCAGCTAGCAGTTCAAGGACTGTGCATCCAGATCATCCCACAAAGACCATACTTACAAGAAGCAAATCGTGTGCAGTCTGTCTGGTCCCGAGAAGTGTTGCTGAATTCTGCTTCCGCCCAGTTTTGTTTGCAAAACTGCCAAATGTGCATCCGAAGATCCCCAGCCCAAGGTATTGGGTGATGGCGTTCATGACCTCCTCGTGCCTGCACATTGTGTCTGCATCAGCCAGGCCAATGTTTAACCGGGTCCGGCGCATCTCAAGTCTCAAGAGCTACAAACATAGATGATGTGGCAAGCAAACGATGGCTGTGACCGCTTAGGCATGGAAGCCTCCTCACCTACTCCACCAAACGTTTTTCACAACCCTCATGGCGCGGCCTGTCGGACTCCTGTCGAATATCCAGACAAGCCAGGCTGACGCCGAAGGTGCGAACTCTGCGGATTAGATCCAACAGGCGACCGTTGGCTAAGACCTCACGGGAGGGCTGCTCCTGGGTTTGCAGCAACGTGAATTAGATCAGCAACAGTCTCCTATTCCTATGATGGGCACGACGTCGATGCGAGTCATTGGGGCTTCCGTGTTTATATCTCTCACACTTAGAAAAGTGTTTTCTGCAC